ACATCCTCTCCGCAAGATGTAGGACTCGGGAGCTATAATAGGTTTGGTAACCAGGCTAGGGGTATGGGAGTCCCGGCATACAAATAGGATGGTACCCAGGCTAGCTGGCAGAAGATGCGAGGTAAAAAGTTGATCTTTGGCAATTTGTGTTCGGATGTAGCCTAGCTCTACCAGGCTTCAGAAATGGCTGAAAAGTGTAGAAGTTTGCTGAATAGAAGATAACACTTGGTTGGATGCTACTATCTTGCACTATATTGCAGAATCTGCTTGAAGATTACCAATTAACCATGTGGACAAGAAATGTCACAAAGGCAAAGCATTATTGTGCTTTCTTCAAAGGAAAGCCTTTTGTGTTGAAGACAAACTAGTAACTTTAAAAAGGATTGCAATGAAAAGGAAATAAATGGGCTTAAAGAGAAAGCAACAATATCGTAATAGAACTAGTTCTCCATAAACTAGTTCAGAGGACCGACATTCGAAGTTTCTTAATTACAGACTCGGTAAAAGAGGAAAAATGCTCGTTTTCCCCCCTATTTAATGATGCAGATAAAACATTAAGCTTCCTATTTCGTTTACGATATACAGGAGGATTTAGATATATCGGTAATTGGTCATGGTTTTGAGTCCTCCTCGTGTAAAAACATCGCAAAAGTCATCGAACAGCCACCTGCTGACAGCCGCCATCTTGAACGACCTGTGGGCGGGCAAGGTCATTAAAGGTCAGAATCAAGGGCGGCCATTTTGAAAGACGAGAACAATCAACAGCATTCACGTAGACCAAGGACATACATCAACCGATTGTCCCTGAGGCATGGAACATCTGTAAAGGCAAGTGGGCCTCTTGTAGTGATGACAGAAACAGGCGTCATTCCGTCGTTCCAAAGTTAATGAGCTGCTCATTAAGATCTCAGAAGGTACACAGGGGGGGGGGGGTACTGACATCAAATTCATGTGTGGACAGTTCGCGAGTTATCAAACAAACAGCTTTGTCACTGATAAAGTCATAATTACAATCAATGGGAGATTTTCATTTCTATCTTTAAAAAGTCTGCATGTAGTGCTAAGAATATATGTCTGTACGGAGCTTGTGTTAAAAACGAATCAAAAGTACTTGACTTATCTTAATTGCTGTGTGGTATTCTTTTGGTTTGAAGCAAAAGCCTTCTCCGTCCAGCAATTTTAAACTAACAGGTTCTACTGATAATTCTATACCAACATTCAGTGCTTGAGATGCGTAAACCTGTATAAGAGGAAAATATGACAGAAACATGGCTATAGACCCCGTTACCATGGAAATTCCACAACACAAGCACATGCATGTCTACAAAGAAAAATGGGGCTCCAAAGGGGCGGACTCGTACACGTTCTTAAGCTTTACGGGTCGTTAAAGACCCAGTGGTGTCCTTACATATATAATGTATGCGCGCGACCGGGGCGGTATGCAGCTGGTCTGTGTTTTCTTTCTTTCTGTTTGCCAAAACAAAAGAGAAGAACTAGAATAAAAGAAAACACAAAGAAAGAGACGAAACGGACGTATGCAAATAAATAATTGGCCGAAGCTCGCTTTCGGTTGTTTACAAATAAAAAGATTGTGGATATTGGGTTGAACTTAATTATCTTTTCTGACGGCCCCTAATTCTAAAGATACTGGCTGTCAAAAAACATGATTTTCTACCCAAAAATCTTCTTGGTGATTAGTATGTAAGAAAGCATGCTGTTGTATCCAGAGCCGTGTTGTATCCAGAACCATGCTCAAGCATGGTTTTTGATAGTCCACGGGTATCCAGAACTGTACCTGGGGCAAATCTACGTCATGCCCGTAGCCAGGATTTTGAATGGGGGGGTTCGTCCCACTGCTTGAGTGGACCTCGAGCGCCGTAGGCGCGAGGTTCCTAGGGGGGTCCGGGGGCATGCTCCCCCGGAAAATTTTGAAAAATGAACCTTCTAAAATGGCATTTCGTGCATTTTTGAGAGGATTTCCAAGAGAAAATCAGAGATAAATTTTTATTCAATGACAAAGAGAGCAGTTTTTTCTACGATTCCAGTCCATCTTTTCAAGAAAAAACTTGGACCTTTACATAAAATGTGGACCAAAAAGTGGACCTTTACATAAAAAGTGGACCAAAAAGTGGACCTTTGAGCCTTGTGGGGGGGTTCTTCCGAACCCCCCCTGGCTACGGGCATGCACGTTCTCAGATACGCGAAGACTATCCCTTATCCTAACCCTAACCCATTCAGTCATAGAGCTAGATAGGTACGGTTCTGGATATACAATAAGTAGGGATGTCTATCGTACTCATATGGTGTGTATATGTGTCAAACAAATCTGGATTTACTTCTTAACATTCTCCCTATCCTACCTGTACCTTCTTGCCTAGTTCCCACGTCCTTAATGAATGTGAAAAATCTTGTACAAATACGTCTACATCCTTTAACAATCATTCCGATTCAGTTCGACTCCAAAACTATGGTAAGTCTAATCCCAAAACACGCGCGGTCGGCTTCCTAACATTTGTCAGACTTGTAAAGTCGCACCGGGATACATAGAACTGTTTAGGAAATATCCATGGAACGGTTTAAGGACATTTGGGTGGTCTTAAGCAAAGTACCCGGTAAGACAATGTACGTGATAACGTTAAAATCTTCTATTCAGGTGAGGCTTAAGATTTGGATCTGTATCTGTATAGCCGGTATAACCGCCTTTCGGCGTAACACACCAGCTTCGCAGGCACGCGGCGAGGCGGCAGCTGGCTATATTACACCGATCGACTTGTTACACCTAACCCTTGAACTTCTAGCTCTAGACATTGTTTAAGGCTATCTAATGACAATGCCCCTTCTGTACTTGGTGACAGTGAGTTCCACTCTGCGATACTTCTAGGAAAGAATGAATTCTTGAACACCTCAATCCTTGGTTGATAACTCTGGTACTTGAATGCATGGCTATTTCTTGTTCTCTTCTAGGCTGGTATTAGGTACTTAGTAGTTGGGACGTCCACCAGTTTATTAGTTATTTTGTACATCATGCATAGTCTAGACATCTTTCTTCTGTCTGGATCAACAGGTGTGTTTTGGGTTTAAGGCATATGGAATTTTTTCTTTCGTCTTCCATAGAAGATTACTCTGTTTGTGTTTACGATAATAGGTGCTAAGAATGCATGGGAATCTTCGGCACTGGGATCAAAATATTTGGGCAAATTACGTGAGACTTTTAATCCAGCTGAGTTTGGAGATAATGTTATCTTGGATTTAGGTTCGTTCCCACGTTTTGAATAGATCGCCATGTGCTTTTGGAATATGTTTGAAAGTATTTTATAACATTAAAATTAGCAAAGTGTTGGATGGGTCTCTTACAACATGTACATCTACGTACTCTGTCATTCAGTTTCATATGCCAATATTGAAGTTGTATGCTCAACTCTTTTGAACGTCGTACGACATGCTCACGACAGCCGTGCGACAGTTTCTGGCAGTCTTGGATATGTCGTGCAACATCTAGTTGTCTTGTGTTGTCCTAAGTCCTTGTAGATTGTTGGCCTTTCAATGATCTTCCTGAAAATCTTGGACAAAATGATATCTCATACCGTATGTGACTTTGCGTTAAACAGTAACATCTGGTGGACATGCTCTTTCTGAAACACTGATAACTGGCTATAATTACATAGTCGCTACAACACTCGAATGGGATGATGGAAAATTGTAGATTCTGCCAAATAGACTTGATTATTTAGCAGAATTAGCCGACCATATGAGTGCTCGTTTCTTTGAAACTATGCAGGTACTTCCTTGACCAGATACAAGGTAACTCCTCTGGCAAAGGTACCCAGTCTACTATTATGCAGAAACCCGTTGAAGCCTAGTATAGTAGAAACCAATAACTACGTATGTTCAGTCGCGCAGAAGATTTATAGAACCACAACAGATTTTAAACCACAGTAAACCAGTCAGAATTGCCCTGATGAAGATGACAGACGGTCATCGAAACGTCGGCTCGTGAAGAATAAATGGTTGTGACTAAAGAACTTTACTATTCATAACAAACTTTGTATGAAATAGTTTGCAAGGTTCGTAACGGAATAATTATGTCACGGGTTTCTTAAGATCGTCATTTTTTTATTCACATATATTTATTGGGCATTTAGAATTGGGCAAAAAGCACAAGTTGCTTATATAACACCTTCTACTCAAAACATACAACGAGTGTAAAACACATTGACAAAATATATGCATAATTACAAGGTGGGTCAAACCAAGATAAATACAAACAAGACAAGTTGGTGATCTATCAATTACGAGAATCTACCCGTAC